TATACAAATAATCGACGACAGTATTCTGATGGTGAAAAACTTTTGGTTGTTATACTATCGCTCCAACCGACTGAGCTACTAAGTCAACAGAAGTGTCCTTTCTCAACTGTGCTACAGTTATAGCCAAAACAAAATTAAGGGGAGGTTACTCTGTAATTGACAAAAACACAGTATATCCTCATTCTGCAGAAATAATAATTTGTTATTGAAACGTTACCAGTTTAAGGCCTAAAATATCTTTATTATCTTTTTTTGAAGGTTGATGCACATTTTATGTATTTCTACAGTGATTTAAGTCGATTTAACATAATTTGAACTTTCATGTTTTGAGTGCTCATGAAATATCTTATTAATCCCTCAACGGGTCTAACCGTTTTTGCGAAATTTCTTTAATAATATTACAATATTCGTCTAGCAATCTTAATATATCAAAATATTGAAGTAGGGTTTTGATCTTAAGAAACATGTTTTTGCAACGATTTTCAACTATTCACGAAGACCTAATCAATTCGACGGTCGCATTCAATTAAGCAGATCGGCTGCTTTGTTTTGGCACCAGTGTGTCCTTGAGGTGTCCGCCATGTGCGGAATTAAGTCAGGTGATGTGTAATTAAAATATGCGTGGAGTAGACAAGTCACATGTCATCAATCCGCTGAATGTTCCTTTTCCTTGATTCTTATTTGGAAACCGATTTCCTCAAATGAAGTTAAAGGACACCAATGGGTAAATTAAAACTGAAAAGGAAAAGTTCAACTACAGAGCTATGTATGGGGTTTAAGGAACACTGGTTTCATTTCTAGATCGAAAATGAAGTTACATGACGGATTTTTTCTTACTTAGAGTTGCTTCCCTTGACATTTTAAGATTGATGGTGATTAGATCCTTTGTTCGAGTTCAACCTTCGTACTTTTTTTTTATTATATTTTTTTTTATTATTTTTTTCCAGAACTCAAATTTCAAACGAATACAATTTTGTTTAATGCATCGAAAGATGTGATTGACGTAGAATACCTTTGCAGAAATTGACTGAAACATTTATTCATATATTACGGAAGCCAGTTAGTGCCACATGAAGTAAAAAAATATATGGCGTAATTACGACTTAGTATGTCGTAATTACGACTTAGCATGTCGTAATTACGACTTAGTTATCTCGTAATTACGACTTAATTATCTCGTAATTACGACATACTAAGTCGTAATTACGACATATATTTTTTCACTTCATGTGGCACTAACTGGCTTCGTAGATATTAAACCGTTGATTGACACGATTATTTGTATAGCTAGGCTGACGTCCGTGTGTATTTGTTCCCCGTTCCGTGATCTAGATCGTACGCTATTCAATAAGTTACTCCGACTTCAGGGGAAATTTGAAGTAGCCATAATCCAATAACACTCTTACTTGTATTGATGAAATTCGGTTTGAAGGGCTATTATGCTCTACAAGAATGTTACTCATGCGTTTGTGCGCAAACCTGCAAACTGGAAATATCGATATGTTCATCCCTTTGACAAAGATATTATAAAACATTTATGTTAATAAACAGATTGTGCTGGGGAGAACTATAGAAAAGACAGATATCAAACACATACATATTTTACACATTTTGTCTTATCACGTTAGCCTATATATAAGGGATAAGTATACCCCTCTCTCTCTCTCTCTCTCTCTCTCTCTCTCTCTCTCTCTCTCTCTC